TTGCCCACTGTCCCTGCAAACTGAGGTGCAGGGGCTTTCTCACTGGACAAGGCTGTCCAACCTCAGTGCCAGTGCATGCCCCCTCCCATTCTGCTCTCATCCGTTCAGGACACATGCAGGGGCAGCTCTGCTTACCTGGCAGCAGTGATGGTGCAAGGTTTCAGGTTGGGGGAAGTTGCAGGTCCAAGCTAGGATCCCAGCAACCCTCTAAAGTCCAAGCCCGTGAACTCCCTACTATACTGGGCGAGGGAACTGGAGGAGTCTGGGGAGGCTACACACAACTGGGGCATCTGAGGTTCCTTGTTTCAGCCTCCAGGCTCTTGGGAGGAGTCAGAAAGCCAGCTGGTGGGAGGGGTTGTAGAGAGGGAGGAATGTCACTTCTCGGTGTGTCCTAGGCTGACCAGGGTGCCTCAGGGTGGGCCCCCAGGGATGCAGGGATCCTGGCCAGTATCAGTATCAGGATTAGTGTGTTGTCTGGCAGTAGAGCAGTGGAAAGTTCAGGTCTTTCTAACACCCTAAAAGAACTCTCTTAAAAAAGATTACTTCCTTCCCAGCACCCCAACTTTCAGGATCCAGGGGAGGAAGGATAGCCTTCTGGGCTCAAGATAGCACGACAAGGGCTGGAGCACGAACAGGTTGAAAAGCAACCTGTGGTGAGGAACAGGGGCCCCTGTGCAGGGACCTACGCAGTCTTCCTGCATCTGTTGAACTTTCTGTGACTTGCCCGAACACCATAGAGAAGGATAGCTAAAGGGCAGACTTTTCATGTGCTCCAGAAGAGCTGGTGTGGGGAGCCTTGTATACAGCAGGTAGTGTTCACCCCTCTCAGGAAGAGCAGGCAGTGGAGGTTGCTCTGGGAACCAGGCCCCTGATTTGGAACAGACATTTCAGATTCCTGTTCAAGGACAGGATGTGGTTGCTGTGTAATGTCAGACAAGCTGCTTCTCTGTGGGGGGCCCCTCAAAGAGAGGAATAGCCTGAGGTGGTGGGGAGGCTTGCCATACTTAGGCACACCTGAAACCAGAGCAAGAGTGAGCTTTTTAGTATAAATGTTCCAAATAGTGCACTGGATATCCTTACAAGCAAAACCGCTCCTGGTATATGAGATCCTAATAGAATCCTGTATGCTGTGCTGGGCTTCATGTGAACGAGACAACCTGGGTGTGGCCCAGACAGGACCAGAGCTTGGAGTGCTGTTGGGCTTGCTGGCCTCTTACTCCTTTCCTTTCTGTGAGCTCTCTGTCCTCAATCCTCCAGACCCTGTCCCCAGTTTCCAGACAGTAATGAAAGAGAGCCGCAGTCCCCTGCAGGGAGGGCTCTGACTTACCTTTGCAGCACAAGCTGCTGCCAAGCAGTAGGTGAGGCCAAGAAACAGAACCTCCAGGCGCCCCATGGTGAGTGTCTACCTCTAGGTAGCCTTCTCCCCACTTCTCCAGTATTTATGGAGCTGGAGCCAAGGTCGTATACGTGCATACCATGTACTCACAGACACGCAGGTGTGGGATGGTCCTTTTCTCCCAGGTTAGGCTGGCCCTCTGCATCCTGAGTTGCACCCACAGTGCACCTGTGGGGGTTACTGCCTACCTGGGAGCAAAGGCAGGTGGCCTGCTTGGCATGGGGGGAGGGCCTCCCAGGGCCAAACCTGGCTGGGTGCTGGGTGTCCTGAATTCTGTCATATTAACTTCACAATTTTAGGGTTTAGTATCACCTTCAGAAAAAATGGGTGTGCTTCTTCTTAGCAACCCCCTTAGTGGGATACCCATGAGGGACTCCTGAGCCAAAGGTGGCCATGGGCTACTGGGCACTGGTACAGCTGACTCTTGGTAACTCGAGTGTGAGCTTGCACTACGGTATGGGGCAGTACAGGCTGAGCTGAGTGCAGGAGGCAGAGCCCTGGGAGGGGAGGACAAAAAACTCTAGGTGGACATGTGGCATAGAGGGAGGGAAGCTCCCAGAGCAAAGCCCAGTGTGGCTCACTTACCAGGGATTGGTGGTGCCTTTAGATAAAGGGTCATATTTCACCTCTGTGCCTTGCTGGAGGGTGGGGTGGGGGCTCCCTGGGAACACAAGCTAGGATTTGGGGGCATACCCAGGCAAAAAAGATACAAAGCCTGGGAGGAGTAGAAGCACAGGATAAGGGAGGGAGGGAAGAAAGGAGGGAGGAGGAAAGTACTGGGCTTAGAGGTGAAGGCCAGTATGAGGTTATCAGAATGGCCACCATCCTAGGGATGTGTACTTTGGCTATCAGGAAGAGGTTATCACAGTGACGGACACAAATGAAGTCTTAAGAGGCTCCCTTTAAGGAGTGCAGCTGCCTTAGACACCTGGAGGACACAACAGCTGGCCAGGCATAGCCAGAGTCTTCCCAGGCCAGTGGCCCCTCCCATCCAGGAGCCCAAGCCTCCAGCTCAGATCACAGCTCCTGCCAGAACACAGGGAACCCACAGCCCCACATGTACCAGTGAGTCCATGTGCTGTGCCCTGTCCAGTGAGCAGGTGTCCACAGTTCACAGTAGATGTGCAGATGTGGGAGGTGGGAGGGTAGGAAGCTGGGCCACACAGGTGGTGACATAGCAGGAAACACACGTTGGATCTTGTGCCAGCTATAATTCTGAGAACCAGTGCTGAAGCAGCAGTTGTGTACTGGGGAAAGCTGGGTTAAGTAATGCTGGTATCTTAAGAGGAAAGCGGGCAGGAACAGGGAAGCAGGGGAAGGAGGAAGGGGCCTTTTTCTATCTGGCTTTTGGAACACGTTTAGGTTCACAGCAACACCGAGCAGGAAGGAGAGTACTTATGTCCACTTCCCCAACCCTGTACTGGCCCGTGTCTACAGTGACAAACCCACAAGGACACATCCGTCACAGAGTTCAGTAGGTCAGCTGCTGCTGACACTGGATGCACTTCTTTGTGGCATGTGGAGTTCCTTATGGGGAGGGAGAGTATAGGGCTCACTGTCTATCATAGCCTCCCCAAAAGGCTGGGCTGTGTGGGGGACCACACAGAACACTAACCCCACTGACATACACATCAGGATTTAGGCAAGTCATTTTAAGGCGGTTGCTGGTTTTTTTTTTTTTTTTTTTTTTTTTTTTGTGGGGGTGGGAAGAAAAATTTTCCCTAAAAGCAAAATCAACCAACTGGTGCCACATTTTAAAGCAAAACTACAACCACAACTCGGGCCAGACCTGCTGCTGCCACTCCCCAGCTATGTGGCCTGAGCCTGTTTCTCCAGGGAAACAAAGTTCTTGGCACAGCAAGCACAGGGTCTGCAATTCTCTTTCTTGTTTACAGGTGCCCTGGAAAAGGTGCTTAAGCTTTGTCCTCAGGCAGGAGACATAAGCTTAAAGGATGCAGTAGGCCCGTGTCAGCGGGGATGGGGAGTGGGGGGTGGGGTGGGATGGGAGGGATGCAGGTCTCTTCAGGCACTGGCCTGCAGGACTCACCCCAAGTACAAAGAGCAGAGACTTAAATGACCCTAAGCTGCCTTCTGATTTTATCATGTTACCTGGTCTAATTTGTCAACCATTAAACCTATGTACTTGAATGATTTGCTGTTTTAAATTTTGTGTATGTCTATATGGAGTATATGCACATGAGTGCAGGTGCCCCAGAGGCCTAAGGGGCTGCTGGAAATAATTAGAAATTACTGGAAATTATGTTAAGTGTGGTGATTAACATCAAGAATTAACTTGACTGACATGGTACATAGATATTTGCTCAAGGTGGGTATGGTGGTACACATCTTCAATCCTAGCACTCAGGAGTTGGAGGCACAAGGATCTCCCCGAGTTCAACATCAGCCTGGTCTACACAGAGTTCCAGGACAGCCACAGAGACATAGAGACAGCCTATCTCAAAACAAAAAAAATCACCCAACAACAAACCCTAAAACATTTGGTCAAACATTCTGGATGTTTCTGTGAGGCTGTTTTCAGATGAAATGCTGTTTAAATCAGTGGGTGTTGACATGACAGCTTAGCCTCTATGTGGGTGGGCTTTATGCCCAGTCTGTTGCAGGCCCAAGTCTGGGGGAGGAGGGTGAGCAGCCAGCATGCTGCCTTTGACTGCAGCTGTTACTGAACCTCCACCCTACACCATGCCCCAAAGACTGTGGACCTGCACTTCAACTGTGAGCCAACTGCTTAAAATAAATGCTCTGTAGAATCTTGGTTAGCAAGTGCCAAAAAGGACTGTAGTTCTGTTAGAGACAAGTACGGTCTTTTCTAACATACCCAGCAAATCGCAAATAGAAAACTATACAGCAGTGAAATAGACACCAAGACTCAGTAACTGTGAAGTCTGATGATGGGTGACCAGCTGCATGAAACAACAGCGCTTCTGAAGGCGTGTTATAGTTTTCATACTAAATGCATTTTTATTTACATGGGAATTCAGGAGAAGAATTACCATACTTTGTCAAATGTGGCTAGACCTCAGAAGTCCTTCTAGTCTGGCTAACCTAAAGGTAAGACTGCCACTGCCCTGGGCTGTGTGGGTAAGGCCTTCAGAGGGCATGAGGTCCCTCACTCAGCACCTTCCTCAGATCTACAGAGTCAAGACATTCCTGGGTAGAAGGGATCAGAACCTAGACTTCCTCCCCAAAGACCAGCAGCTCAGAGGCAGGAGTACTCCCAGCTGAGGTGTCCTGCCAGCTGCTGTGAGAGAAGCCCTCTGGGGTACAGGCAAGGCTGGCCAGCCTTTAGGGAAGAACTACTTCCTGCCTCTGGGCTGAGCTTTCTTCGAGCAGCAGGAAGCAGGGTCAGCAGGGGACACACGGTCTGTCCAGCTGCTGGGAAGTTCCCAGGGGTGCCCAGCTGGGCCAAATGAAACAACGGGCCCTCGATCTTGTCAGGAGGATGGGCTGGCTTGAGGCACTCAGCTTTGGATTTGCTGGGACTTGACTGGGTCTGGCAGGCTGTTCCAGGGACAAGGCCACAGGGAGAAAGGAGGCAATGGAGCACCTCTGGTTCAGCACCCTTCAGCAAGTGCTGGTGCTGCTGCCCTGGGGGCTTGGGAGGCCAGCTTGACAGGCACATGACAGTGTCTGGTTCCACAGAAGGAAGCTGTGAGACAACAGGGTGTTTCCAGGGAACTAAAGAGCTGATCCATTTGGTCAAGTCAGGCTGAGCCCAGCCTGATGTTGGTTGTCCAGTGTCCTCACCTCACTGCCCTAGATGGGGGCACAGGCCTGTCCCAACTGTCCCATCTTGGTATACCAGCATGTGCTGAATGAGTGAAGGAACAAATGAGGTGTTAGAGAGTCTCAGGTGAGAAGGAACATTCCCAACGCTAACCTCCCCCCCATGATGAGACACCCAGGAAAATTCATTAACAGGTCTATTGAGGCTGGGCCTGGCTTTTACCAACACTACCCCAGACAGATGGTGTCCAAACACAAGGGCAGTCTGGCTGCCTTGTGATGACAAACCCTGCTCCTCAGACCATCTGTCACTATATTTACAACCTCTGCCAGGATGGGTACCCCTAGCATTACATCCACCTCTGGGCTTTTGCTGGTCTTGGCCGTGGGTGATCTACATGGCATTAGGGTCATCTTTAAAGTCCCAGAGCAAAAGGCAGTACTAAGCGGTGGGTCACACCACAGCCAGGGTCTGTTTATTAGGACACCAGCTTTCTTCAGAGGTGTCTGTCTCTAGGGCCATCCTCACTACTGTGACTTTGCTCTGGCTTCTTTGTGAAGACAGTCACCAGTCTTACCTGGTTGCCTGGGACCAGTGCTTTGTCACACATAATCCAGAATTTCTGTCTCCATCTCATTTTCACTCCCATCTGAGGGCTTGAAATCCTCCTCCTCCTCTTCTTCCTCACCCTCCTCTCCAGACTCAAACATCAGCTGCCCTTTCCCACGATCAGCCTTACCTGTGTCGGAGAAGAGAGCTGCACGAGAAAGAAAGAAGGTCCTGTCTCCCAGTGCAGGCTTCCTAGGTGGCCCTGGAGCCCATTTACCAGGTCAGGCAGCTGGGCTTGAGAGAGCTACTGTGTTGAGGGTGGGGATGCAGGAAGGTGAAGCCTCACAAGGCATGTTTAAATCCATTTTCTAAGGAGAGACATAAGCAGTCTGGGATCCTATGCACCTTGAGAGGACATACACCATTATTCCCAGAAAGGGTTCACAGCCTTGACTGGACTCCCCAGAGGGTGAGTCATGTCCCATACACAGTCAAGAAGCCCTCCTCTACTCAGATGCCCACTATCTAGCTTGGAAGGAGCCCTTGGCGAAAACTTTTCATTGCTCTGCAGGTCCCTTTGTAGATTACCACTACTTGGTAAGTGCCTTACTTTCCACCGTCCCAGTGGCTAGCTCTGGCACTGGTTTGAGAAAGGAGCTAGGGAATGCAGTGCAGGGCCATAGGCCATAAAATCCCATGGGAAGAGATGAGCAGAGCTAACCATTCCTGTAAAGGAAGATGGCACCCCTTCCCTCTTGTCTGCTCAGGGTCACAGCTGAGTCCTAGCTCACAGGGGACCCTCCCACCACGGGTAATGGACAGCATGAGGGTCTCTGAAGTTTTTGTCAGGAACACGCCTGAGGCCTTCCTGCATATGTGGCTCTCACCAGGCCTTTCAGAGCGGATGGTCTGCAGAATCATGAGTGACATGGTGTCCCTCAGGTGGTCTGTGGTCTTGGGGAGGCACCAGCCATCTCTCTCCGTGCACACACTCTCTGTCCCATCATTGCGGTGAACGATTTTCTGCAACCTGAAGGCAGAGGAGCTGTGGGCAGAGTCCAGAGGCAGGGCTCTGCGGCAGGGAACTAAACAGAGCGCCAGCCTGTGGCTCCATGTGTGGTAGCTCATGGGCTAGAGTTCAAGCACAGCTCTATGGGCAGGACATTGTGGCAACAGGATGTCAATGGGGAAGCTCTTACAGGGGCCCTGTGTGACAAACAGTGCCAGGTATATACCCAGGCATACTTTTTATCAGTAGTAAAGGCTTTCCCTAGATCCCACACACTGCCTTGTTCCTTTCCATGCTGTTGCTCCACTCCAGGTGCTTTCTAAACTTGGTTGTGAACAAGTGGGCAGAAGGTGTCCAGGAACCATGTCAATCAAAGGGACTCTCGAGAAAAGACTCCACCAAGAGCGACTGCTACTAGCAATCAGAGCTGCTCTTTACGGGGCACAGTGCAGCCACAGTTGTGGTTCCTGCCTTATAGCCCACATATGGCAGCACCCAACTCTCAGTAGCCAAGTCTCCCTTGGAGCTTGCTGCAAGAAGAGCTGCAAAGAACACTGGTCTCACTTTAGTGAGTTCTAGCCCAGGGTTCCTCGGGACCATCAGTGGCACAGGACCCCTCATACATACTCCTCCACATTCAAATCACACAGCTGGTAGAACATCTGTCGATAGGGTGGCAGAGCCCCTTCCCGGAAGATGTAGACTGAATCCTGCAGACAGGCGGGAAAAGAAGGGATGGTTATGCAGTACTCAGGGTCTAACAGTGCTGAGGACACCCATGCTGTGGTTTTCATGGGAGTCTAAGGAGTTGGCTTGTCCCCAGGCCCAGGGTGGCCAGCACATGTGGAGAAATGAGGCTCTCACTCCCCAGGAGGTTCTGGAGGGTGGAGGCAGTCAGACCCTCCTCAGACCCCTGGGAAGTCTGCCAGTTGACAGCATGGGGCCACCACCAGCCTGTACTGGGGTCTGCCTTCCTGCCTTACAAAAGGATCTGGCCTATTCCTCCCAGCTGTTTCTAATCAGTCACTCTATGCAGCCCTGCATGCTTCCTTGACTGCTTTTTTGGAGAGGAAGGCAGGGTTTAATGAGTATCATTTTCTTTTTTCCACTTAGAATATAGCCCTAAAGTCAAGGATAAGGCCCCAAGACATTGGTGGCCAAGACACGATGGCACTAGGAGGACAGCTGTCTCCCTCATGTCGCCTGTCTGTTGAATTTGAATTTTCTGTCTCAGCCACTCAAGCAGGGTCTCAGGGTAGAGAACACACTAGTTTGGCCTCTCCAAGGACTATAGAGGTGTCAGGAGAAGAAGTGTGGGAATGTACTAACCACTGTCTATCCCATCATATGTCAACCCACAGATGAGCCCTAAATGTTCTGGTCTGGCCTGTGCTCATGTCTATGCCCGAGTCCTGTCATCTCAGCAGCAGTTAGAGCTCTCAGGGGAGCCAGGCTCACCAGTGGTGGCCATATAGCTGCTGGTGTCAAATTCCCCTCTCTAGGACTTGTCACCACCTCTCTGCCCAGATGGCCCTAGTTCCCCATGGCCTTGGGTAGATGATGTGGGAGTAATGCAAAGGCACTTGGTAGGCAGAGTTCAGTCATAGTTCCTTCCCAGGGTCACAAGAGCCCTGCAAAGACACTTTGTCCCCATACCTGACCTTCCACGGGAGCCTGAGGGCACTCACCTTGAGCTTGTACTTATTGTAGGTCAATTTCCGTGGGCCATCTGTTCCTGATGGGCCCAGGCCCTGCTTCAGGTCATGCATGGTGACAAGCTGGTTGGCTACATGGGAGCAAGGCAGTGCTTTGGTATAGAGGGAGTGTGGACAACCCTGCCTGATCTTTTGCACCTGTCTGTAAGGAATGGCCAGCAGGCCTCCCATCTTGTTGCCCACCTCCCTTGGCCATGTCCTGATGCAGGTGATCCAGCCACTTACATGTCTTCTTGACGGTGATGGGGAGGCTATAGTTGTATGTGCTGCGCTTCGCTTTCACAGGCATGTCCCTGGAGCCATAACCTACATGTAAGGGCCATGTGACAGAAGGGAAGTAAGTGCCAAACCCATCTGAACAACAGTCAGGGTGGCCTTAAGGTGGCCAACTCCACCTGCCATCTACAGAAGGAATGGACGCCAGCACATCTAGCAATGTCCACATGCTGAAATCCTTATGTGGGTTTCCTGGCATCCTGGGCTTAACATTTTAAGTAGGACCTGTGACACAGTTATAGACAGTTGTTGAGTTGTCTGACAGGGTAATGGGAATTAATATAGGGTCCTTTGCAGGCACATGTGCTGCAACTGCTGAGCCATCCCTACTCAGCCCCAGAATAGAAGGGAGTACTAGAAATGGTGGCTGGAGAGGTGCTGTGCACACATGAGCACTCAAGGGAGGATCCCAGCATCTACACAGCAAGCTGGGCATCCTGCATACATCCTGTCAACCCACCTTTGGGTGTGCGTGCGTGCGTGCGTGTGCGTGTGTGTGCATGTGTGTGTTGCTGAGGTTTTCTGGCTTCTAGACAGCTGAGAAAATGTGTGTTCTACATTCATGAAGAGATTCTGTCTCAAAGAACTAGGTGGAAGTGACACAGGACACCTGACCCTCTTTTCTGGCCTTCAAGTGTGTGCACAGGAGTGCTCACTGCATACATGCATGTGCTCATACTCAAATACATAGATATATACACATACTTTTTTTTTTTAAAGGAGACTGCTAGAAATAGAGGACACAAAGGGACAAAGACAGAAAATAAACTTATTTTTACCGTATTTCATTCCACAACGGATTCGAAAGTCAAGGACTTGATAAATTTTGGCATCTGGGTGTTTTCGAGGGTCATAGCCAAATCGAATCCACAAGCTTCTCCATGGACCTGTTATCTAAAGACCAGAAGAGTACTGAGTGTGAGGTGGGCCAAAGGTCCTGTACTACTTCAGTGGGAACCAAGCAGGACCCTACCCTTTGACAAAGTTCTGTGAGGATAAAGTGACATTGCATGTCAACTTTTTAGGCCAACTTTTCCTTAGAGATATAAAGGGACTCTTACTGTCACCTCCAGGAAGAATAAAAGCAGTGATATGTAGCCTCACCCAGTGTCAGGTCCTTAGAAATTTCTCACTACCAAAAAACTATGCACAGAATACTTATCTATGACTTAGGTAATGCTCCTTCATCTCAAGTCATCCACACACAACCAGAAACATTATGAGAAGGTTGTGGTGGACCAGGGAGTGTTGAAATCTTTCTAGCTCTCTCTCTATGTGTGTGTGTGTATATACACACACACATGTGTAGGTATGCATGTCTGTATGTATACCAAATACCAGAGCGTATTGCTGGTTGTCTTTGATACTCTTCACATCATCATCATCATTTGTTTTTTTGAGACAGGGTTTCTCTGTATTGCTTTGGAGCCTGTCCTGGAACTAGCTCTGTAGACCAGGCTGGCCTCAAACCCAGAGATCCACTTGCCTCTGCCTCCTAAGTGCTGGGATTAAAGACGTGTGCTACCAACACCTGGCTTATTCACCTTATTTTTTAAGATACAATTCCCCAGGATCTGCCCACTACACATACTCAACGCTGGGGTTATACACAAATGCACTATGCCTACCTTTCTTTCATGTGGGTGCTGGGGATCCTCCAGCCTGTGCAGCAAGCGCTTTACCCACTGAGCCATCTCCCTGCTCTTAACTAGCTTTAACAAGTTGTCTCAGAGTGTCAGGTGGCAGGAATGTCTACCTTCTGTTGCCATGGCACTAACATGTCACATCAGGGATTAAGGACCACACCGGTAGGAACCAAGGTGAGTGTGAGACTAGCTGTCACTTACCATGTAATAAGCCATGTAGGGAAGTAAGATCTTGAGCTTGTCAGGGTGGACACTGACATTAGACTTGACAGCATTTCTTGACCAGATGGGACGAATGTCAAAGAGCTAGGGAAAATCATGGATAGAGTTTGAGATGAACAACAACAGCTACTGGCCTTCTCACACCAGCCATCCTTGTGTGTCTGGGTCCCAGTGGTAGAAGGCTGGGACTCAACAAGCCTGTGGAACCCACCACACCTACCATTCCTTCATAAATTCTTTCCTCCTACCCCTAATCCCTTAAAGGCATGAATTATACATCCTGCATGTTTAAGTGGGGTCCTAAAGTGATCAAATAGTCCTCATCCTTACATGGTTCACAGGGCAATGGATCAACAGGGCTGAGTGAGTATACGCTAAAACTCCAGAGCCCTGGTCTTTGCTAACCTGGAAGGCAAGTGCTAGAGATGGGACTTCAAGTAGATGAAGGGCATGGCCTGGTCCCGAGGAGGGCTGTGCAAGGCCACTGTGACCAGAGAATGGAGAGACAGGGCAGAGAAGCCCTGTGAGCTAGGACAGAGATGAGCCATAGAGACAAATGAGATTCAGTAAGAGCTAAAGTCTCCAAGGGACCCTGTCCTTGAACAGGGTGTGACTTCATCTTCAACATGAAAGCCTCACTGAGAACCTGCTGTTTAGGCCTGTGGACTCAGCAGAAACCCAGCCCCCTGTACACTGCCCCGACTACAGTGCCCTGTCACATGTCTGCAGCTCAACCCAGGATGAAGGCACCACAGTCTGGCACATGACCATATTCCATGGGTTAGGTATAAGTTAATAGCTCTGTACAGGTTGCTAGACACCAGCTTCACATTCAAGTCACACTCCAGCAATGACACCCCAAAGGGACCCAGCACAATGTCTCCCAGTCCTCTTTTTACTTTCTGAGATACTCTATTTGCCAAGGCGAGCCCTGAACTCACTCTGCTGGCTAGCTGGCTGTTACTTGCACTACTTCTGCTACTGGGGTTATAGGGCTGTGCTAGCAAGCCCAGCTTCTGACACAGCTTTTAGATGTAGCAGCTGGAGGTAAAAATCCCCCGTGCTAACCAGCCAATGCTAGAAAAAGCCCAAAGCGGAGCTGAACAAGTGGCCCAGGTTGGGTGGGGCACGAGACTCACCTTCCTCAGCTCTTCCTCCACCTTCTGATCTATGGGATTGGTGCAGGCCTTCTTCCATGTCTGTACTGCAGCCTCCAAAGGCTGTAGAGGTACCTCAGGATCCTCAAAGTTGACAAAGATGGCATTATGGGGGCGCCGGGCTCTACTCAATCCAATCAGGTTCTCACCTGAGATGGAAGGGTTGTGATAACCTTCCCTGTGGACAGAGAGCTTGGATTACTGTCCCAGGCACAGACCTGGCCAGGCAGGCAGAGAGTCCAGCAGACATGCATTACCAGTAGATCATACCGGTGTGCCTTCTCTGGATTAGTGGATAGAGGACCCCAGCATTGCCTGCTGGAGAAGCATGTGCCAGGAGGCTGCCATCAAGGAAAAGAAGGGACAGTAACTGTCTCCAGTGGCTCAGGGAAACTCTGGGGCCAGTGGCCTTGAAGGAGTGCAAGGATTCAAAGTCCCAGAGACTGGGGTATGGGAAAAAGGCATCATCACAAGGGTGGTGATCTCCCAAATGCAACTGCATCGAGTCCCACACACCAAATTCAAGCCAGTACAAAGCTGGGCACAATCCAAGTGCCCATTAGCCACATATGTGGACAGTGACATAAACTCAAATTACATGACTCACTCAACTCTCCAAATGACCCTCCAAGGAAGACATTTCTGAGGAAGTAACTGAGGCCACCAAGATTAGGAAATGTGTCCAGACAGCATCTACAGGAGCTGGGCCTTAGCCCCAGTAGGCCTGGCTGCAACTATCCCTTAGCCAACTGTCCTTCCACCTAGCAGAGCATGACTTGGCTCAGAAGCATCTGGACAACATGGGAGAATGAAAAGGATACAACCAGATGGTTAAGCCAGGGTTCCACATGTCTTTACCCATAGTGTCCAAGAGCAAGAGGGACCCATGTGAACTGTAACCCTGTGGGGTGGTATGTCCTGACCTCTCTGCCCTGGAACAAACATACCACTTGGTGTGTGTGCTGGGAAGGGTAAGACGTGGGTGAGATGTGTTTCTCATACCCAGGGGTACATAAATCTCTGTACCTTCCTAAGTTTGCTATGAACCTTTAAAAAATAGTTTAAAACACAAACACACACACACTGTCCATACATCAGCACAGAACATGTCTTGGTGGGTGTTCCTGAGGCACTCTTAAGGGTACCCACTAGAAACAGAAGGCAGAGACATTAGTACCAAGGACCCCCATGTGTACATCCTCAGCTTCAACAGTCCCTGCTACACATTAGCTCTGCCTCCACACTACCCCCCCCCCCCGCACTGCAAAGTGCATTTTACTGTATGTCCTGCATGCCACAAGCACATTTGCACATCATCACCTTTTCATTTATTTCCATACCTTTTAAAATATATTCATTTTTATTTATGCAGAGATGCCTGTATGTTTATGTAGTATGTGTGAGGGTTTTGTGGAGGCCAGAAATTGTGAGCCATTTAATGGGGGTGCTGGGAACCAAACTCTGGTCCTCTGGGAGAGCAACAAGTGCTCCTAACCACTGAGCTACCTCTCCTGCCCCTTTACACTTTTTTAGAAAACAATCACCAGCTGATCTAGAATTCCTAGATTCAAGCAATCCTCCTCAACCTCACCCAGTTTGCACTTTATCTTACTTTTCTATGTGAGTACATACTATCTGCAAGCTTTAAAAAAAAAAAAAAATTGGCAAACAAAATATGAAACACAGGGTCAAGTCTGTGCGTTTTTTTTTTTTTTCCCAAATGTGCCCTGTCAGGAACCATTCCAGGTAGGTACAACACTATCCTGCTTTAAAGCCCTTCTTCCTTAGCCTCCAACACCCCCAAGAAGGAAAGTAGGTAGCTGGCCTTCACTTCAGAGAGGAGTATCAGGAGGGGGAAGGGAGGGAGGGTGGCATGGCTGCCCCTGCTGCCCATCCACTGCCTCCAGCTAGCTCTATTGACCACAATGACTGTAAGTCTGTGGAGAACTGCTGGTAGAAGCAGAAGGGCCTCAACACCCTGCCAGCCTCCCCTCTTCAACTACAGGCTATAGGACACTCATCTCCCTGAGGTAGACAGCAAGGCCAGCTATGCATAAAAATCAACAGTGCCTGGGAAGAAAGGCATGTTCTTTCCATGTGCAAGGGTTCTGCTCAATCACATGAGGAAGGGTCATACCTAAGGCCCCAAAGTCAGCTGGCCCCCACCCATGACCTACTCCAGAGGCTTGGACCAGCTGCCTGCCAGCTTCTGTGTGCAGAGTGTAGCACAGGTGTTTTACTTCTGTGAACTGTTCTTCCTACTACAGGTGTAAGCTGCTTTGTGAGGAGAAGGAGACACACCAGAAAAATGCAACTTTGAAAAAGCAATGAGGCAGCCAGCCACCCATAATGGCAAGCACCTTTAATTCCAGAACCCAGGAGGCAGATCCTGGTGGTCTATAGAGCAAGTTCCAGGACAGCCAAGGTTACAGAGGAAAATCCTGTCTTGAAGAAACAAACCAACAACCCTCCACCCCCCCCCCCGCCCCCAAAAATAGAAAAGAAAAAAAAAAAAAAAATGAAGCAAGGTAGCTCAGTGGATGTTAAACTTCCTGTCAAGCCTGATGACCTGAGTTCAAACCCTAGGACACACATAGTGGAAGGCGAGAACTGACTTCTACAAGTTGTCCTCTGACTTCAATATATGCACTGTGGCACAGGCATGCCCACAAGCACTCCAACACACTGTTGAGTACACACTAGCACGCACACACGCATGTTCCTATGCACACGCACACCCCCACGCCCCATACTCACTAAATAGATAAATAAATGTAGTAGAAAAAAAATAAGAAAACAGCAATCATACCCAATGTAGGTTTAACACTCTCATGGCAGACACACTGTACATGCAATGTACTGTCCTTCTACCCACAAGAGATTTTGGCAAAGAGGCAATGACACTTACTCTTTTTGGTTGTATCTTTTCATAATACTTGTTTTTTCTTAATAAGCACAACTTACTCTGATCATCAGAAAAACAACAGAGGGGACAGGAAAACAACTGACTGAACAGCTCTGGAAGGCTCTAGAAGCACATAAGCTTCTTTCCTTTTTTTTTTAGTTTTGGTTTGGTTTTTCAAGACAGGGTTTCTCTGTGTAACTATCCTGGAACTCCAGGCTGGCCTTGAACTCAGATTCTCCTGTCTCTGCTTCCTGAGTGCTGAGATTAAAGGTGTGCGCCACCACCACCTGGCTATTTTTTGTTTTTAGGTCAGCTCAGGATGGCTTTCAACGTGACCCTCAATTTTGTGAATGCTGGGATTACCAGTGCATTAACCTATACTCCCAGCAGCTTTATTATTCATTCATTCATTCATTCGAGACAAATTCTTTTTTTGTCCAGGCTAGCTCCAAGCTTTTAGGCTTAAGTGAGTGTTGTCCCTTAGCTTCTTGGGTAATTGGAGTACAGGTATATGCTATTGTACCTCCAATTCACAGAAGCTGTTTTATATGTGAGACAAGATCTCTGTGTAACAGTCCTGGCTGTCCTGGAACTGTCTCTGTAGACCAGGCTGGCCTCAAACTCATAGAGATCTCCTGCCTCTGCCTCTCCAGTGCTGGGATTAAAGGTGTGCACCACCAGCACCCAGCTACAATAGTTTTTCTTTTCTAAAGCAGAGAACAATACACTTTTTGTGATGAGACCTAAGCCTGCTGCCACAGCCTAGAGATCTTAACTGTAATCCCTGGCTTTGGAGGAAGCAGCTCCTCACGCTTCTTCTGCACGGCCTGGGGTTTGGTCTAGAATGTTTCTCAGAACCCTTCCTTGCCTTGCTGTGCTCTGTTCCCACTCATTTCTACTGCCAGCTCCTCAGTGGCGTCTGGAGCCCCTCAGCCCACCCACACAATATGCACCCATCCATTTGCTCACATTCTGTCCTGCCTTACAGCCTCCAGGCCAGAGCAGAGCCTCCCTGACATGAGGTCTGATGACACCGAGCTCCAAGCTTGGGTCACCGCAGGACTCTTTCAGTACTTGGCAAGTGTTTCTGTCCTACCCCCTCCCAAAATGGCCATCCTGGGTACACCTTCTGGAATGTCCCAATGTCTGCTCTCCCTCACATTACCATTTGCTTTTGTGCTACAGTATCTATCCCAACACCTGCACTTTTCACAGGGCACAGAAACCACTATGTGCCACGTTAGCACTCCAAGCTCAACGTTCTGAAGTCTGCACACAGCCAGCCAGCGTCTCCTTCAGGAACACCAGAGAACAAGCATTGGCTGGCTTTTCAAGTTATACCATCCTCTGGTTTATCTGGTGTGTTGACCTTGCTTCCCAGGGATTCTTTAACTGAGTCCCAGCTATTGGTAGCACTTTGCTCAGGCCAGGCCCAAAGTTATAGCAGAGAACAAAGGCAGCCAAACCACTGCTTCTGGGAAGCATACAACAAAATGAGGAATATTATCTTTGTGTATCTAATTTGAAAAAGGTACTAGGCATGGTAATTCACGTTTATGATCCCAGCACTTAGAAGGCCAGAGATGTTGCCAGCCTGGATGATGCAATAAGCTCTGGGCCAGCCTGAACTACAGAAACAGACCTTTTTTCTAAATATCACAAGCATTAAAAGAATAGTGTCAGATTAAGGACTGAGCAAGGTCCAGGGGTTGGGCAAGGCCAGGCTCAGAGATTCCCATGTAGCCTGGAGACCCCAAATCTCATCTACCTCCCTTGTAAAGTCAGGATGACAGGGAACTGGCAAATTGTTGGGAGGCTGAGACAAAATGCAGGCTCAGCATTTCCCCACAGATGGTGACTATTATTAATCTCATATTGGGAATGTTCAAATTAATTTCTTCCACATTAGTCAGTCCTGGCTCTTATACAAAGGGGCTCTATATCAATTTGCAGCTGCCTCCAGAGAAAACCCACAATTGACAATGCCTAGGACCTGCCTTTCCAACAGCTATAAGGTCTCCATTCTGTCTAGATTGTGAAAAATTACTCATTCCACTGGAATTACATGTGGTCTTATTTTGGACTTTCACAACTCTCAGTGCAAGGGATGCCCACCACTGATTCTGAGACACACAGTGCCCATCCTCAGAATATAACCTCATACTCAGTGAGCAAGATTCAGGGAGGGTCATAGTCAGCTTGAAGGGAGGCACCAGAAAACAGGTAAGGGCTGGATAGTCTTGGCAGCAACCTCCAGCCATGTGGGCAGACAGAGAGGTGACAAGGTGGACAAACAGGCTGAGTTTCTGCAGGGAGATGGCAGAAGGCTGAGTTACTGAGCTAGCTATGAACTCTTCTGTGACAGGAACCAGGAGGCCATGAGGTGGACAGAGGAAACAGTAAAGGGATGGGTCAGAGTGGAATGTTCACACATGACATTTCATAGGAAATATCATTATTGGTGACTACAAGCTCCAAAGAGACCATTTCTTATCAGGAGCTCCTCAAGTCCTGTAGTTCATTGTCTGTTGGGAACAATGCCACTCTGTGACCAGCAGGCCACTGCTTAGGACACTTGCCTTATGAATTTAATCCTGACACCTCAGCCCTTGACCCTCTGCTGCACTAGAGTGGGGTAAGGGGTGGGAGGCTGCCTACCGGTGCTGCGTCTCAGGGCGATAGAAATAGTCCACAGGTGTGTCGAGCCGGGAGAAGATGGGTGGGGGGATGTAGAGTGGCAGCTCCTGGTGGAAGAACTCCTCCTTCTCAGGCTTGCGCATGAGCACTCTGTCATACATGGACACATGCTTGCCACCTGCTTCTGTGTGCACTGCCAAGTACTGAAAGTCAGACATTCCTGGAAAGGCAAGAAGAACAGATGGCACACTCTCATTCAGGCTATGGCAATGCTGTGCTGACACCCAAATCTCTCAGGAAAGTGCTGAATGAGCTGTGCAGCACCCTTCTGATGGGTGTGCAAATTAGTGCAGGAAGAATGGCGAGGGAGGGTAAAGTCCAGGGAGCTAATTCATAAGACACAGTGTCCTGCTTACAATACAGTATTTTCAACAAGCTCCAGGGGCTGCAGGTCCAGGGCCATGTTGAGCAACAAGGGGCTGGCTCAATTAGAGAGAAATACAACTGTGATATATTAGGAGCCACCTCCCCCCTGGAAGGACAATCCTCATGGTGAATAAGCACCTACCAAGGGACCCTAGGTCTAGGTCCTATTCCCCTTTCCTTCTGTTTTATGTTTAAGACACGATTTTACTGGAACCTAGGCTGGCCTCAAACTCTTCTCTGTCTCCTTTTTTCTCTTTGGATTTCCCCTTCTCTTCTCAATCATTTAGTCTCTTCAGATTCTTTTTCCTTAGGGCAGCAGCTGTAAACAACTGTGTCTAAGGTGTGCTTATCATTTGCCAAGCACCTCCCATATAGCTCTTTAAAAGTCACCATCGTTGTGAATCTTGCCCAGCCCCTAGTGCACAGACAAGGAGACTGATGCAAAGGGAAGCTAGGGCACATGCCTAAAGAAATTGGTGAGTGGGGGACAGTGGAAAGTGGGTGATGAATAAGAACAACTATAATGATATACGTACAGGAAATTGTTACAGCGAAACCCAGTACTTTCTACGCTAACTTCAAATTTTAATAACAGACAAACCATTGGGGCTCATCAGGCATAATTCCAAACTGAATGCTCTTTGGCTCTGCCTTTCTAGTTCCCGCCTTCCTGATTCTCCCTGGAGTTCCCTGGAAGAAGCAATTCTGAATGAGGACCCTATACTAGGTATGTAGTTCAAAGAAGCATGAGCTGCCTATGGGACCCAAGTAGCCAGGAAAGCTTCAGAGGATGAAGCCAGCAGCAATCAAGACTTGACAGGGGAGACAGGCAGTGTCAGAGTCCTATAATCTCAACCATTTGGGGGGTTGGCATAGATGTTTAAGATCAGCTTGGGAGAAGGTTCTAAAAATTGGGGTTTCAGACTAGAGATCTGATCACTAGTCTGATCTGGCCCCACACAATAGTTTATCTTAAAATTGGAAAGTTTCTCACAGAATTCTAGATTGCTAGCTTCTCTTAAGGGTATAAAAGGTTGAAGAGATAGTTCGGGCATAAAAGCACTTCCTGATTCTCCAAGGACCCAAGTTTAGTTCCCACATCAAATGACTCACAACTACCTGTAATTCCAGGGAATTGGACACTGTCTTCAGACATCTACAGGCACTAACACACATGTGGCATATATACACACAAAAATAGAAAATAAACTCAGGCTGGGTGTTGGTGGTGCATGCCTTTAACCCCAGCATCAAGAGGCAGAGGCAGGCAGATCTCTGTGAGTTCCAGGACAGCCTGGGCTACATAGAGAGCTCCAGGACAGCCAGGTCTATGTAGAGAGACTCTGTGTGCTGGCTAGTTTTATGTCAACTTAATACAAGCTACAGTCATCTGACAGGAGGGAGACTCAATTGAGAAATGCCTCCACAAGATCAGGCTGTAAGCCAGGTGGTGGTGGTATATGCCTTTAATCCCAGAACTTGGGAGGCAAAGGCAGGAAAATCTATGTGAGTTTGTGGCCAGCCTGGTCTACAGAGTGAGTGCCAGGACAGGCTCCAAAGCTACACAGAGAAACCCTGCCTTGAAAAACAAAAACAAAAAACAAACAAACAAAAATCAGGCTGTAAGCAGATAAGCCTATGAGGCACTTTTTTTAGTGATTAATGCAGGGGGCTCAGCCATTGTGGGCTGGTGGTCTTGGATTCTATAAGAAAGGCTGAGCAAGCCATGAGGAGCAAGTCAGTAAGCAGCACCCCTTCATGGCCTCTGCACCAATTCCTGCCCTCACTACTTTGCTGATGAACAGTCACAAGGAACTGTGAGCTGAAATTAAACCCTTTCCTCCCCAAGTTGCTTTTGGTCATAGTGCTTCATCACAGCAATAGAAGCCCTAATCAGGACACTAATTTTTCTGAGAGAGAAAAAAAATGTATGAATAGAAGATAGGAAGGGAGTGAATCCACAATCCGTGAGGGACTGTTCACTGGAGAGGGAAAAGGCTGCCTCCACCATGGGCAACAGCTCTGCCTCAGACATGGGCATACCCTACTCCACTTCCCATGTGGCTCCACATTAGGCCCTAAAATCACCCAGTACCACTACAGATGTCAGTTACCCTGGAATTTGTAAATTGTGGAGATGATGCCAAGGATTTCCAAGTCGAATGTGACCTGGGGGTGGGTCTCGGCCCCCAGGGCACCTCTCTGCCGTCTTGTCTTTTTCTTGATCCGGAGCAGCATGCTGCTGGTACTGAAACGGTTAGCACACACAGGGTGACAGTATGGGTCCTTGGGCCGGAAATAGAGCTCAAGCCTCTTGGTGGGGTCAGTGTAGATCTGCAACAATGCAAGGGAGACAGGGGGACCGGTGAGCAGCTAAGCATCCAGCAGAACACTGCTTCTCTTCCCACAAAGCCCAGCCGACGGTCACCCAGGAAGGGCCAGGAGGCACAGGTTCTACTTCTAGCTCTTCATTCCCAAAGAACTCATTTTTTCAACCAAGTTTCCCAGTGTTGATAGCAGAGAAAATGAAGTCAAACAGTCTCCTTCCAATAGATTATAAGTGAGAGATAACTGCTAAAGAAGTGAGAACTGTCACTATCAAAGGTAAGGCACAAAAGGACTCTCCCAGCATCACAGCATCTGAGGTGGCAGAAGTTTCAGAACCAACTAGGCTTTGCCAAAAACTACTCGCCTGCTTTAGGATTCATTCAGTAGTCAGTCTCACAAGCAAGTGTTTCCCAATCCAGAGGACTACATCAACAGTAATGGCCATTCTATTCTGGCATTGCTTACTATTCATAGCCTTCAAGGCCCCAGTTCTTTCTTCTTATAAAAACAAAACAAAACCAACCAAACAAAAACAACCCCCACCCCCACCCCTGCCCTAAAAAACAAAACAAAACAAAAAACCCTAAGAATAGTATCCACTTTATGATACTGTTAAAAAGATTCAATTAAAACAGTGGTGCCTAACTCATGGTAAGCACTCAGCACATGCCACCTACATGTGAACAAATGATTGCCCCATATCTGATAAGAGGCATGAAATGAGTGTCAACTCTGCATGTTTGAGCCAACAATGTACAATGGCTTGAGGTCACGCATAAGTTCAACTCCTAACTCCCAGTACTCCGGACAGGGCGCCTACAGGAACTGCGCAGGAGCAACCTAGGGAAAAGATGAAAGTGAAAAGCCCGGGGGCTGGAGAGATGACTCAGAGGTTAAGAGCACTTGCTGCTATTCTGGAGGATTGGAGTTTGGTTCCCAGCACCCAAACATTCTGTAGTACACAACCACCTGAATCAAAGCTCTAAAGGATCCAACACCTTCTGGCTTTCAGAGTCACCTGTATAAACAACAACAACAAAACCAGCCTCATTCCTCAGGCATCCCCTTCTCACAAAGCACACAGCACTGACCTAACATGGCCTAGCACATCAGAGTACTCCAGAAACCCAGGCAGAATGTATGAATGATGGACCATCCTATCAGGCATCCGTGGGGTAAGGAAGAATAAGGATTCTGTCAAGGTCATAATGTGAATAATGGAAATTCTACTAGCACAATCAGCTCTTTTCCATTCACAAAAAATGGAGCAGCAGCTCAGACACTAGTAGGGCAGGAATTCAAATCCCTGTTGGGCCTGTAGCAATTGTCTGGCCTAACCTTTTTTACCTGTCCCCTTATCTGGAAAATGGGAATAAAAACAGTATCTAGTTCATGAGTTTGTCACATAAATTTTTATAAAATGGGGGACTTAATCCCAGCATTCAGAAGGCAGAAGCAGGAAGATGTCTGTGAGTTTGAGGTCAGCCTGGTCTACAAAGCTACACAGAGAAATCCTGTCTTGAAAAATAAAACACACACACACACACACAAAATGGGGGGCTTGTACAGATATTAATACAGAGGTGAACAAGAGAAGGCCTTGCTCTGAGTTTACAGACCCAGGATCAAGTAATAAACAGGTAATAAGTGTATCAAAATGAAATATTGATTGGAATCAACAATGGAAGGAGCCAGATATTAACTGACAATGGTCTAAGGTGTTCAGGGAAAACGTTTCTAAAGAAATATCCCAAGATCCGGCATAAAGAGCATCACTCTAGCCCCCCCAGCTTGCTGTCTGGCCTTAATCTGTTCACTTGTAAAACGCAGGTGTTGTCAGTTCCTACTGTAGGGGTTCCAAGGACTGTGGCATGTAAATAAAGCACTTGGCACTTGCCTAACATAGAATACAATGTCAGCGAATCGCAACACTTTAAACTTCAACTACAGGTGGGGCAAAAGTTCGAAATCCCTTTCTTCCTGTGCGTGGGTTTTCTACCGAGAGAAATAAGGTCAGAGAAGCTCACTACACCCAGCGCGGCCACAGCTGAATTGTGTTTCTGGGACTTATGCTAAGCATGCTACTCACATCTGAGGACAGAAAGAAAACAAAGCCTGGCTCAAAGAAGGCCCTAGAGCCTGCCTAAACTTTCCGTTACCAAGGAAACCGCTCTTCCGCCGGGTAGTCCCGCCCATTCAGTAGACGTGGTTCTTTTCCCGCGGTCCTGGAGTTTTCCCAGTTACTTACTCGAGAGACGCCTTCCTCGCCGCCCAGAGTCTGTAGCATTTTGGCCTCGTTACGCACCACGCCTGGGTACTCCACGCACACCAGTCGCCGTTCCCGCCGTAGGTCCACAGGGATGGCAGCCTTTGGCTCCGAGTCCGGCTCCACCGCCTCCATGTCTGCTAGTCTGGTCCCGGCCCGACGTGGTCCGTTCCACAAATGGCTCCCCGAGGCCTCACCTCAATGGTTCCGCTAAGGAATGGTTCCGGTCCTTCTTAACGTTCTCGTCTCCCTAAATCATTGAAATTCGAAGGCCTTCCGGGCCCAGCTTGCTACGGCGTCTGTTAATTTTGCGATACCACAGAGATCTGGAGGGTTTTCTTTTTTGGTTTGTTTGTTTGTTTAAAATGAAGAGTGGTAAGACGAAGCTGTTTCCCACTAGGTAGCCCAACCAGGCAAGGGAGGACTCGACCGGGTCCTTCCGGATGTCCTGCCCAATGAGAGCTTGAAGGCGTGCCCAAGGCGCCTTCTGGCCCGTTTTCCATCAGTGAACTAGTTTTAGGCTTACAAACAAACAAACAACAACAACAACAAAACACAGCCTACTGAGTTCTTTTAGCCTTGCTCCTGTGTATAAGAGTTTAGGTCTGACCACTTGAGATTGCATATCATGGGGGTCAATAATGGAGAAGGTTAATTCTCAGCAGCCACTAATTACCTGCAGTTCTTTATATAGGGGTGAGGCTTTGTGAGATTTCCCCCATCCACGTTGATGCCCATGGTGTTGTTTAGGCGACTGTATTGTTGAGATTTCGTAGGTTCAGCTTTCCAGTCCTAGACACAGTATACAGGACAAGATCCCCCTGCCTCTTTCCAGGTCTTCTTCTTGTTGTTGTTTTTCGTTTAGCCCTGGCTATCCTGGAACTCACCACATAGACCAGGCTGCCCTTGAACTCAAAGAGATCTCCCTGCCTCTGCCTCCTGAATGCTGGGATTAAAGGCTTTTGCCACCATGTCTCAGAGCAGGACCAGATTTCTGATGGCTCTTAGAGGGAATTCTGGGTGAAAATGGTGGATTCGAGGTATTGTTCACCAAGTGGTTTCCTCACACCACACACACTCAAAGACCTGAGCTCGGGCAGGATCCATCATTCTAAAGACTTCTGCTGTGTGGAGGAATGGATCAGGAAAGCTAGAATGGATTCAGATGAAACACTATGAGCCAGACTAGTCCTGGCAGGAGATATATCCTGGGGGTGGGGAAGTGACTATGAGAATGAACTTTTGGAACTTCACTTGAGGATATTAGGAGACCGATTGTGTGTAGGCACCCCAAGTTTCTGAAGTGATTTCTTAATCAAAGAACTCATTGTTGTAGGTGCACTAGAAAGGCAACATAGAGGCTGGAGTGGCTAAGAGTACTTGCTCCTCTCACAGAGGACCCAGGACAGGTTTCCAGTAGCCACACACAGTCTCACAGCTGCCTGTGACTCCAGTTCCAGGGAATCTGACACCTACTTCTGGCATGCATGTGATGCACATATAGGCAAAACACTCATATACATACATTTTTTTAATCATTAAGAAAATATTCTTTTTTCAAGACATGGTTTCTTTGTGTAGTCCTAGCTGTCCTGGAACTAGCTCTGTAGACCAGGTTAGCCTCGAACTCACAGAGCTCCTCCTGCCTCTGCCTCCCGAGTTCTGGGATTAAAGGAAAGATGTAGTGAACCAGTGAATGAGTGATTCATTCTTGATTCATTCAAGCTGTTGTTTTAGTTCAGTCTTGGGACATGGTCCCATCCCATGGAGGGATGTCTTAGGTGCACAGAAACAAAGGAGAAGGGAGGAGTGGAGGGGAATACAATGACTAACCTGAGGGCATCAGATCAAGCTTCTGAGAGACAGAATTGTAGTTCAACCTAGGATCTGAGCCGGGGAGGGCAGGTTGGGAACTGAGAGGACCCAAAAAGGACCAGGCAGCCAATGAAAAGAGCAGTGTCCACACAAGAATGCACTTAGTGAATGGTGTCTCCTGCATGCCTAGGATTCTGTGAGACATAAATGATGAAGCAGAAAGCCTACCCTCCTAGAGCTTGCATTGAGTATCAAGAGCAACTAGCAAATGAATTAGGCCAGGATGCAGCTCAGTGGTGGAGGGTGTGTTTACATGTTCAAGGTGCTGAGTTCCATCTACAGTCCTCCTGCTGCCTGTCATCATACTAGTACAGATAACATTGAGGAGAAAAATCAAGCCCAAAGTATTTTACCTGCTTTCCTGTACCCAGCCTTGCCAGGTACAGTTTTCCAATAGGCTCTGGGGATTGCCTCTAGGAATTCACAGATGAGTTTTCCAGCAGGTCTGTATAGGCTCAAAACCTGCCCAAGCAGCTGGGGCACCCTAGTGTAGGGGCATGTTTGGCGACCAACCCTCTCCAGCCACTGCTCTAGGACTAAGAATGTGCTGGGTCCAGCCCTTAGCTGTCCCAGTGTCCAGCCAAATCTTAGGTCTGTCCCTGATGTACAGACTTGGAGAAGGACAGTTGTCCTGTCCTCTGAAGTGACCCCAAGCAATGGAAAGGGGATACTGGATGCCTAGCAGAGCCAAATTCTAAAGACAGCACTGTCAGGGGAGCAGCCTAACACTCCTATTCAGTGCTTTGCTGAATACTGAATGGTGTCAGCAGTGTCCCTTTAGGAAAATTAGGAGTGGAAGGGGTATTGACCTTTTATCAACCAGTGAAAGAAAGCCTTTGAAAATATTTCTTCTGAGCTTCACTAGGGATTGGGTGTAGTTTATTGCATGCACAAGGTCAGTCTACAGCTCACACAGTGGGTGCATTCTTGAATACTACTACTCCCTTGCTGGACCTTGAGTTTCCTTGGATTGGATGAGACATGTAATGTTTACTGTTGGCCATTAGATGGCGACAGAGAACCCACATAGGCAACCCATCCACCCGCTGGTGGTGGATGCTTATGACATCCTGGAAGACCGGAAGTTGCCTCACTGAGAAACCTCTGCCTAAATCTGGGGTCTCCTGGGTTTAGCAGCCTCATGAAGGCTTATGCTAGTCCCAGGGCCAGTATCCTGCTCCCTATTGGATCAAGCTATGCACACTTATATACATATTTAGGATCTCATCATCAGGTGACAAATGACTGACAGGACCTGGGCTTGGGGGTCTGCATAGGTGTTTCACAGTTTTCTCTTCCAAATGAAACAAACTACCCCATTGGGCACTCTCCTTCCTGGTCAGTTTCTCATTCCAAAGCAAAGTGAAACCAAATACAAGACTGAGTTTCAAAGTTTGTTCATAGGTAGAGTTCATTTTACCATTGTTTTCAAAACTGTGCCTAGCCAAGACATAGTCACAGCAAAGCAAATGAAATTTAAGCATTGCAGCCCCTCAATTGCATGTACACTTTATGAAGGCCTTGGGAGGTCCTGTTTTATTGTGCTCAGCATGTTTTTATAAAAACAGGGGAAAGATTTTTTATCTACATTTGGTTAAGACAGCTGTCCCTTTCCAGCCACCCTGTCCTCTGTCACACTTTGCTGGGAGTTATGGAGACAGTGTCAGGAGTATGGGAAGATTTGACTAAGGAGAAGTGAACTTGGAACACGGTAAGATTGAATAGAATGTATGGGTGTAGCTTGCAGTCACTTCCGTGGGCAGTAAAAGGATTGCCACTTATTTTCTGTAGGAGTGGCTTCCATGAATACACACCCATCCAACTCTGGCAATTTACTGACATTGTGACAAGAAAGTGCAACACCAAAGGGGATGAAGTGCTCATAATTCATGATGAGGGAAATTCCGTCAGGTAGCGGATGTGGGGAAATGGCCCAGTGGGCAAAGTGTGCAGGCTCTACAAACGTGAGGACCTGAGTTTGGATACCCAGCACCCATGTAAAAATTGGTCGTGGTAAAGTTCGTCTGTTACTTTAGCACTGGGTGTGATCAGAGACAGGTATATTCCAGGGGAACACTGGACTCTAGGTTCAGTGAAAGACCCCGTCTCAGAAAATTAGATAAGGCAGCTGAGATGCTCAGTGGGTAAAGATGCTTGATGCAGGACTTGCCAACCTAAATTCCTCTCTGAGACCTATGTGGTGGAAGGAGAGAACCAACTGTTGCAGGCTGCCTTCTGACCTCTCCTCATACAGCCCTTGCTCACCAAACAAACCAGTAAACAAAGGGGCTGGAGAAGTGGTTCAATAGTTAAGAGTATTTGCTGCTCTAGGAGACCCAGATTCAATCTCCCCATCATCCATCTGGTTGCTCACAATTCTATAACCCCAGTTTTAGAGAGTCCGAGGTCGTCTTCTGTCTTCCCAGAACAACAGGCACATATATGGTGCACAGACACGCATGCAGGCAAAACACTCATACCCATAAAACAATAAATCTAACAAATAAAATGTAATTTTAAAATAAATCAGAGGTAGCTGTTGGTGATGCACACCTTTACTCCTAGCACTGGGGAGGCAGAGGCGGGCAGATCTCTGAGTTCCAGAACAGCCAGGCTTCTCAGGGAAACCTGTCTTGAAAAACAAAACAAAGCAAAAAGCCACAAACTAAAACAACAACAACAAAAACAGGACAAAGCCAGTGTGGTGATGCACATCTGTAATCCCAGCACTGGAGAGGTAAAGGCAAGAGGATCAGAAGATCAAGGTCATCCTTGGTTTTATAATTTGAGGCCAGCATGGGATACTAGAGATTCCATCTCCTACCTACCTCAGAGAGAGAGAGAGAGAGAGAGAGAGAGAGAGAGAGAGAGAGAGAGAGAGAGAGAGAGAGAGAGAGAGAAAGAGAGAAAGAGAGAGAGAGAGAGAGAGGGAGAGAGAGAGAGAGGTTGAGATTGAGATTTTCATGATATATCATGTTAGTGTCTGTGTTAGTACTACCAGCAGCAAAGACAGCTGTTACCTGTTCTCTGCTCCTCACTTGCTATGGTCTGAAATCTGGGGAATAAACCAAGGCCATGTGTTTTTGTTTGTTTTGTTTTTGAGACAGGGTTTCTCTATATAGCGCCAGCTGTCTTGGAACACACTATGTAGACCTGGCCTCTGACTCACAGAGATCTGCCTGCCTCTGCCTCTGCCTCTGCCTCTGCCTCTGCCTCTGCCTCTGCCTCTGCCTCTTGAGTGCTGAGATTAAAGGAGTGCCCAACTATACCTGTGCCCAACTCCAAGAACATGTGTTAAATGCTAAGTTTCCACTTGC